TATCTTTTAAATTTGATTTTAAATTAATCTTGTAGTATATAATATAATATAGATTTTGCAAATCAAACTGCTAAAATCAGAATTGATAAATTTCAAATTTGTGTTATTATTATCGGTTTTTTATGCTTAGATAAAGTTAAATATTATAATAAAAGAGAAGATATATTGTTATCCTATTGGATTTACTGACGTGTTCCCCACTCTACGTATCTGGAATTACCGGTGTTATTCAACATTTGTCAACATAAAAAAATCCACCGAAAGTAAAGACTTGAGTTTCGTAACTAACTAACATTTAATGTTACGAAATCTTCTTGTGCAATTTTTAGTGACCATTGTGCTGTTTGTGTACGATGCTTTCAGTTTTTACTTATATTATAATAAATAGTTATCTTCTTTTTTCTCAAATATTGATTGGAAGTGCACATTTCTTTGGTAAAAAAAATCTACGTAACGATACAATACTCGATCAATCGCTAAATAAAAATCTAAGTTTTGATTTGTATGTAGTCTTTGTATAGCTGACGATGTTCATAACTTGCTTTATATAGTAATGATCTATAAAATTAACCAATAATATTGAGTTAATTTTACGAAGTTATGAGCAAAAATCATTACTATATATATTAAAATAGTTTTTTTGGGAGTTGTTGATTAATAATAATGTTGATCACAGAGTCAACTTCAATTACATATTATATCAAACAAAAGACCCTGCCCTTAAACGATTATCAGAATCTTGTAGCGTAAAGTAGTAGTGTTACGGGACGATACAAATGATCCATTAATCAACTGGTTTGACACAGCTATTGTGGTGCAATGATAAAATGATTTTGTCCAATGCACTGTAACTGTTTTTATTATATTCTATACCTGTAGTCTCACACAACGCCGATTTTGTCATTTCTGGTGAAATCAGGCCTCGAGTATAAAAACAGGCGTTGTTCTTACAAAATTAAATCATTAGTTTTCCTCCATACGTAAAAGTCTCGTGTCCCTTCAAACACAAATGGTGGCTCTTAAAATCCAAAATATTTTTTTTTATTATTTTTGCTTTCGTCAGTATACCTTTTGTTCACACGGGTGACAAATCTGTCAATTATGGACAACTTATGTTTGATACTTACTTTAATCAGGGTATAAATATTATTACTATATTGCTTGTGAGCGGAGAAGGTGTTCTTTTTGATTTTTTTTGATGATTGCATTATACTTTTATCAATCTTAATACCCTCCATCATACGATTGTTAATGATGGCTATTTTATTCGTGCTTTGTACTGGTTTCCTTTTCTATATATTTCATCGTGTCAAGAAGAAAGGCACACGCATTAATCAAAAAATAAAATGGACTTGCATCATTTTTCCTTTGTATATATATCTTTTTGTTTTTCTTCCCAATGAACTTTACAAAATGGATGTAAAACAACAGTTCAAAGTGCATTTTTGTTTTTCCGAGGAATGCGTTTCCTTAATTTGTTAATAATCAGCCCTATTTACCATGCAAATTTTCATATATTTTCTCGAATTGTGTTTTTTTAGTAGCCAATATAATCATTTTTATAGATTATTTTACTCTCTTTTTCAAGGAAAACGTTTCTAATAATGATACATATTGTCGTTTCATATATTTATTTATCATCTCTATGACCCGGGCATTGTATTCGTAGTATTTCTTTCCGGCTCAAACAACTAATTGTTAAAAATTTTCACAGGTCTTTCAATACCCGCTTGTGTAGCAATCGTTAACATTATGTACGTGATAAAGAGGATAAACATACCTATTTCTGGCATTACTTACATAAGATCAGGTGGCACGCGGACCAAAACTCGAACCCGGGAATTCCGGAGGGAATAACGCCGAAGGATAATAACTCTGGAGGAAATAACAATGGGAAGAATGAAATATCAATATAATCAAAACTGAACACTGAAACTTAAATTTGACTTGAAATTCGCAAAAAATTATTTATCAAATTAATCAACAGCATTTACAACGAAATGCTACGATTTATACATATTTGATATGGTTTCCATACAATATAAAGAAATAAATAATACTATATGAATAATCATTGAATAGTTTGTCATCGTAGGAAATCACTTTTTCATTTGTATATGCACACTTCAAATTCTGCGAAAGAAAGTCATTATTCTATTGTTACCATTGGGTTATGTGGAGTTTAGACTAATTAATTTACAGTTAAAGGGTTCTTTACGAGTTCTAAAGGTCTCCTGTGATAATCTGTACACAAATTAATCTTTGATTTGGTAAGTGGCTATTGTACTGATTGTCTACAGCTGCGATAACTGTTTCAAATATCACAAAGGGAATTTATGACGATGAATTTGTAGCGGAGATAATATATCGACAACAATCTAATAAAAGAATGAAACGAAATTATGAATACACAAAAATATTCGAACGGATTCCTTTTGAAAGATTTACCAACATTGAATAGCTTGCAAAAGGATGTTTTGGGTCAATTTAAAAAGCAACTTGATTGGATGGATCATTGCATTATGATGTTACGAGGAATACTTAATATTAATGACTTATTGTTACGTTATTTCCTAAAGATGTTAGATCTAAATAAAGCTAGGGCGCAACGCAATGGTGGGGGTTCAGACCGAATGATTTACAAGAAAAGGGCTCTCGATCTTTCCTAAAAATCTCTTGTGGTAACTTTTACGAAAAACTATTATGTAAAATGATAAAAGGGCTTGTAATAGTTTATTCAAAGAAGACTCGATGGTTCACGAAATTCCCAACGGAATACGGGTAATTTCTGCATTATTGACGAAAGGATTAAAAGTAAATAAGAGTGGCATGCTTCCACTATCAATTTATGTTAGCACAAAAGAAATAAAAAGTCACTTGTACGCAAGATTTATAAGTGGGTAACAATATTCCAATCATCGTTTTGATGTTTTTTTGGCCATTCGATTCATTTTGCTTTATGAAGTGGTGTAAACATTAACTTTCGGAACATCATTTTATCACCAAACTTCTAGTGATGGAATTTTTCATACATATTGAGCGACATTTCTGCAGTAATTACTTTTGTATGTCTCACGCTGCCTGTTTTGAAGATGATAATAGATAGCTGAGGTAGTGCTCTTTGTTAACGTGTGTATTTTTTAGAAGACCGTATACTATTCGTCCAATATTGTAAAATCGTTTGTTGTTGTCGTTCATTATTGGTGGCAGTCATTTCAGTTTGATAATTTTACAAAAAAGAAGAGCAAAAATATTAAAAAAAATTCTCCATAATTTTATCTTTTCGTTGCTTTATTTTGTGAAATGTTTTCCTCTTTAGTAAAAGTTATTACAAATAGCTTTGGATTCATTGCACACTTCAAATATTGGTTCTGGTAATTTTCTTAAATTAGAGGCGGCCAAAGTTTTATTTAGTTCTGGGATTTTTTTGTAATAAATATTTGCCCATACATTACGTGATTTGTGTTTTGCATAATGATGATGTGATTTTACTACATTATAAAGATCTATTGAAAAATTAAAGTTTTAAAAAAAACGGACGAATAAATTTAAAAATTCGTAAATTTGGGACGCGATATCTCAACATCCAATAGTTCAATTCGGACAAAAATAGAACCATTAGATTCGTTAAGCTATATGAATCTACTGGTTCTATTTTTGTCCGAATTGGACCATTGTATATCATGATGCCGCGTACCGAATTTTTAAATTTGTTGATCATAGCGATTTAGACTTTTTTGTTAATTACTTCGGAGAAACGCAGAGTCTATTCCGAAATAACGTCCATCTGCGCGCTATTTCAGAACCTGCGTGTTATGTTATTTGAAATAAAAATGTAACAAAATGTGTAATGATAGGCATAATTATTGGTTTGCATATCATTTGATATAATATGACATTGACTTCATCATCATCTTTATCACAATACCCATCTTCGTCATAATACTCATATTGGTATTTTCGTAAATCCACTGCTGTATGGATGCGCGTTATTTCAGGTGGCACATAGGCGCTATGTCGAAACGGATATGCTATTCTTAAAGGGTGCAATAACATCCACCCGTTATTTCACGAGTATATGGTAATACTAAAGGAAAACTTCTTTTTCGTAATGAGAATTAGAAAAAGGATTTTAGGAATTTAATAAAGTACGAGTATCAAATTACTAAAATAGAATTTTATTTCGTCTTTATAATTTGATGTCACTGATGTAAAAAAATACCGCTGTCTTATATGACAGAACCACTGATGATATTTTTTTGAAATATACGTTATTATATATTATTTTATATAAAATGGGATCAATTATTATCATAAAGATTTAACATATCATTATCGTTATGTTCAATTTTTATTGTGTATCCAAAAAGTTAAACCTAAAAAAATTTCCTCGAGTTTCGCTAAATTCTAACATAAATGCACGGAATGTGGGAGCACATAGATTAATATGTATGAGCTCTACTATGGCTATGCGAAATTTTGAAAATATATCTGCTAGGGTGAAAGACAGCAATTTTGACAGAGGGGGTCTCTCGAGAGATCGGGAGTGGTAGGGCTTAAGCCTTTTTTTGAAGATAAAATTCCCGAAAAATTCAAATCGTTGTACACGCAGCAACAACTAACAATTTAGCAAAACTAAAAGGAACTTTCAGAGACATCAAAAAACGAATGAAGATCAAAAACAACTGACCATTACCTGAATTAGTACAAGGAAGCGAAAGTCTGAAAAACTTGATCAACAGAGAACTTGTCAGGCGTTAGACCCGTCCAACCAAAACAAGTACTCATTGATTCCCATAAATATGAGAAGTATTATTATTTGCTGCAGGTATTTGCAGTGCTCATTGTCGATATTGCTACCGGCTAGAGCTATTTACTAAGAAACGGGGAAACAATTAGCGAAAATTAGCGAAGTCACAAATTACATAATAAATAATAATAAAAAAGTAAAAAATGTATCAAGGAAGAGATTCTGACAGCAGAAAAATATCTACTTATCAATGAAGTATTACTTTCCGTTTCTCTACGGACTAGCTGAATCAGAAATTACTACATTGCGAATTGGGACGAAAGACTATCCTTCTTTCCATCGCGTTTCGACAAGTCCTTTTTCGATAGGTTAGATCTATTCCACACAGCATATCCGAATGTAAGAATCGTGTTAAGTCTTCACTTTACTCATCCTGCAAAATTTCTAGAAATGGATGATAAACAACAATACATTAACCCAGATTTAAAGGTATTTACATTTCAAATGGATGAAAGAAACGCTACGTCCTGTTCTAGAGCTAAAAAGCGTGCGCATTTCATCAGCTTGGAGAATCAAACTCCAATTATTTTGAAGGTTAAATGAAGAAAGCGCCACATTAAATATTTTTGCAAAGAGTTATATCATAAATGAATCGGCAACCATTACTTCTTCAATGCAGAACCACGTAGGGGAAAAAAGAATATGCGCTACTGCTTGAGGAAACATAGAAAATATTTTCATTTGTCACAGAAAGGATTGTCAGGCATGGAAAAGTATGCGCGTCTTGTTAGGTCAACAGAACATGAAATTATTGGGTTGAGAAATGATAAAACTATCTTCCGTGTATATAGAGATCCTAACAAATTGAGCCTGAGGAAAGTATCATTATTTGTAAAAGTAATCCAAAGCCTTTTGGATTACTGATTATAAAGACTACATTCCATAGTAAAGTACCAACAAATAATTTTTAATGCGCAAAATATATTCGCAAAAAAATGTTAGCAATATACACTTTATAAAACGGGGGAAAAATTTGATATGGAAGAGACAATCTTGGTGTAATTTACGATCACGTGCTATAAAATCTTACATTTCCATCTATTTTCCGGTTATCCTGTACAATTACCGTCATAAATAACGAGAATCTAATGTGACATAAACAGTACACATAAAAACATGAAAGCGCCCACCATATGAAACGATGGTTGTTATATCAGTGAACCAGATAAACAAAACCCTAAAAAAACCATCTCATTATTAGGTTGTGCACTTTTTCTCACTAAAATGGACAAAATCCACTTGCTGATCGATGAATGAGCGTGATGCCCCAACTTTAGCAAAACTAACTTATGTCCCCTATCTATGGCATATAAGTATATCGTTCAATTTAAAAAAATGAGCAACTCAACCTATTTCGCGTTATGGACGTCCAAGAACTCTCCAAAACTGACATTTACTAGAAAAAGATAGAATCTGTTTAAATGTCATCTTGATTTTGTTTTAAATCTGATTCGCAGGGTAAATGTCCATTATTATTCTAAAGATTTTTACCTAAGAGGTTAAGGTAGATTTACTTAATAAAAAAATTTTCCTATTATGCTCATTTTATATTCATACATGTATATGATAATTTGAAATTCAGGGAGTTTAAATCAAATTATTAAAAGGGAAAGAAAAGAACCATTAGTGATATATATATATATATATATATTATTTGTACATAAATGCCGCATGTATATCTACATACCTTTAAAGTCACAATCTGAATGAGGTAAGGTTATGGAGCAAAAAATGATTCTATCCGTACATGTACATGTATTTGATCCAATCACATGTATTACATTTCACACCCCAATCACATGTTGAAAAATTTATTCGGTATCCCCAGTCCATATGCATGCATATGATACAGTACATTTATGTAACCGCTTGCCAAGGAGTTATACATGTAGTTACATGTACATGTACATGTATTTTGTCTATTTAACAAATTACATGTATAATCTTTTTTTGATTGGGTCAAATAATTACAAAATTCGATATTTTGAGATCATGAAATTAAATTTTCAAAGTCAACTTTCTTGCAAACTTATTATTTCTTATGAACAACTGAAAAATCCACAATTCAATCTTTTTCATATATTATATTTTTTTATTCTGAGCCTTTTAGTTAAGGTTACATCTGCAGACAACAATGCTTACGTTTCAATATTGCCGCAATTTGAGGCGGATTTATTATGCGCTTGCGTCTCATTAATATTAACATACTACAGCCATCGTAAAAATAAATTTTTCAAGGAATGGCTACCGATGATGTTAACAGTTATTAGTGTTTTTTACAACAGTTATAAGATGTTTGATTCATTTAGTTCTCCATTACACTTTTCACTATCATCATCATTACTTTGGATAATTGCAATATCCGGATTATTAAAGTTTAGCAATATTGAAACAAAAGATTGCATAGCCTTCTCGTTGGCAATTTTCCATTTGTCAAATTCATTTAGAAGATTTTATTACTTCGGAGAAGTTGATTTTGCCATTTTATCAAGCATGATCTCCTGGATAAGTGCAGTCGCTTCATTATTTATTAAAGTTATTAATTTCGAAGCACTACCGATAATTACTTCTTTTCTTCTATTTTTGAAAACTTTCTGGGATGAGCCAGTGCTTCGATCATTAACATTTAGTGCACTTGTACCTATGCTATTTCTAATTCATTTACCTCATAAAAGTCAACAAATTCATCATATAAGAGATTTCAATAAATTTTCTGATGTATTACCAACTTGCATGACAATAATAATTGGATATGATTATTTTTTTATTGGTGGGTTTTTCTTTCTTTTTATTTGTCTTTCATTTTTGCCCGCTTTGTGTACTTTCGCTTTAACATTTTTAATATGGGAAATATTCAGAACTTCAAAGTTTGCCAAGAAATATTCTATAAAAGAAGAATCTATACCAAATCAAATCTACACTGTTTCCTTTGCTTTGGCAATTCGCTTAGCATACATTTTTAGCGGTTACATATTCCCTTATTACTTTTTATTATTGGATACATTGTATGGGCCGGATAGTGGATATTTGAAGTGGTTATTATTATTGCCTATTTTCATTTTCAAATTTTATGGTTATTTGTCAGCATTTCAGATGCTACTCTGTTATATTTTGATACTATTCTTGTATTTTTACTTTCTTTGCTTGCCAATATTTTTGGTATTTATCTTCATCATTTTTATTCCTGTACATTTATCAAAGACTTTTTCATTTGTGTTTATTGTTATTTCTTTATGTTGCGCTTTTTACATTAGTTACAAGATGTATAACTTTTTGAACCCCTTTGATTATTTTGGGAATCCCTTTCCTTTCTTCTTGAAACTATTTCAAGAGGTGGATGCTAAGTACACCATAATATATTGAGTTTGGGATGAATATTCCTCTAGTTTAAATTTATTCGCAAGCAAATATAGAAATATCATGAGAATTTTAATATATGTAACCACATACATAGTATTACAATAATTTGACATTTGGTTTTTTCCACAAAATTACATTGTTTTTTCGTATATTTTTATCAGTTGGTCATCTCATAGTACATGTACATTATTATACATGTATCATGCAAAATACCGTGACTATTTATAGCATTCCAAAATTTTGCCATTCAAAAAGGATTGGATGTTTTACGCTGTCCTCCACTATACAATATATACGATAAAAAATACACGATTTATTGTTTTTTACATTCATCATAATAAAATTGATGAAATGAATGTTTGAACTTTTATCTGGTTTATTATCATGGCAAAGTGTCGATCCTGTGTTTTTTTTTGATGGTAAATAAATGATTCGGGGACAGTGCAAGAATAAAATTTCCTAAATCTGGAATGCGCAAAACAAATTCGAAAAAGTAAATTAAAATTATGTG